TTGACTAGAACAGGATCATATAAATACAAATACAACCCCTTGCTTCAACATCTGAACAGACCAGCCCATAGGAAGGCATTGAAGAACATTAGGATATTGCTTCTTTTTACCTTTCTGACTTAAGGATGCTTGTCTGCACTGCAGGAAACTGCCTCTGCTATAACGAGCTCAGTGGCCATGTGCAAGATTACTTGTCACTAAGTTGGTTAAGGTGGTTATCACTTCCCTGGGGCAAATCCCACCTCCTTACTGGCTTCAGAAGGAAACACCATTTTGTACTGCTCTATTCCTGGGAATTAGAGTCAAATCCAGCACTGAGACCCAACAGAATGCCTGCATTTTGCTCCAAACTTTACCACCCTGCAGCACTTTCCACAGGGTTTTGCCTTCTTTTTAGGTAAAACCATAACAGTCCATAGTTTTCAGTGCTACCTCTGCCTTAAGAGACCAGGTTATTAGAGCCCTGTTGGAGTGATCTCATCACTGGATGTCTTCCTCATATTCTGGGGATAAAACAGGTCAAGCCTCCAATTTCTTACTTATCAAGTGGCCAAGGTGGCAGGAATGGCTTGGGAATGGCTTATGAGCTCTGTGTAACGAGGCACAGATGGGAATGGTTCTGTTGCAGCGATGCTGTATCACGCAGTGAGGCAGTGTGAATAGCTGTTTGGTGACTCAGGGCTAGGCAGGTAGCTGTATCACTGTTTCCACCATGCTCCACACACACTGAGCTCACAGAGACCTGGCTGACAAAGCCCAGAAGCCTCTCTACAGCTCCCCAATGCTGTCTCCAGACACTCCTGTGTGATTTAAAAGCAGGCCAGGCCTTGCAGACAGGGAGACCTCAAGCTCATGGAAGCCACCTGGGATATGGAGGGGTTACTTTGATAAGATTCAGAGCAGCAAAACCCATTGGGAACCCAACCAGTGCTGATCCCAAATGCTAACACATTGGTTGGACGCAGATACTGATGATTCTCACCCTGGTCCTTTCCCAGTAGCACCTTTATCCATGCACAAAGGGACACATGAAGCACCCTAAGCAAGGACCACTTTCATGGGAGAGCATCCCCACCACGCTGGCTGCCGCAGTGTTTCTCTGTGCCACTTGGCTCTTGCAGGCTGTGGACAGGCACAGGGCCAGGTCACTGCCTCCATCCATGTTCCTCCTCATCATCACCCTCACAGATGTTTGTGGGAGCTTCATCCCTGGACTGGGTTCGACTTGAGCACCCGGATCCTTGGGAAGGAGGGCTTGGAGCACTTAGCATTAGTTTCTCACATCCATGTATGTGCTTTGCTTGCAAAGTAGCTACAGTTTGTAAATCACCTCTTTGCAGACACCAGTGGTAACTGTCACGGTATTGAGTAGATTTAATGTTTGCCTCCTATTCATTTGGCCAGTCCCTCCCAAAAGCTTTTATTTGAGTCAGAATCAGGCATCAAGTCACAGCTTTTTGTCTCTTTCTTTCCCTTTTTCTTTCTCTTTCTCTTCATTCCTGGATTTCTTGTTTCTTTCTCATACCAAGAGGGTACCCCAGGATGTTGTTTATGGAAGGTTTGCATTACCCATACATTAAGGACCATATCTTTTCCAGTGCCTCTTTTTAAACCCCAGCACTGCAGAGCAGCTGACCCAGGCAGCAAAGGAAATAGGAGGAGATAGATAGGGAATGGCATGCTTGAGCTGAGGAAAAGGCAGCTCCATCCTGGTTTAAGGAGAAGAAGGTTTGAACTCTGAAGCTGGACCATGTAATGGACAAGGGAATGGGGAAGAGGCATCTGTGCTGTGCTAGCCCTGGGTTAGGTCTGGCTCCCATGTCTGCTCCCCAGTGCTTTCAGTCATCTCCTCTGCATCGAAGCATCTAATCCTGCTCAGATTCCAGGCCAGCTCCTTGTTAAACCTTGTCCACAAAGCCCCTGTTTAAGCAGTTACCAAGTGGAGGCTGAAAAAGAGCTCTAATTCCAAAGCAATCCTATTACTGGAGAAAAGGAGCTCCCATCAGCCATGGGTATGAGCAGTCATTCATGACCAGAGGCTCACCAGGTCATAGCTGACTGCAGACCCTAGTGTAAACACCATGCAGCTATACACTGGTAGGAATTGTTAATACCTTGTTTATGGCAATGGCACTGCTTTTAGTCCCCAGGCCCCAAACCCAGTGATTTCAAAGCCTCACTGCATCCTCTTAACTGCTCTAAGGGCGGTGCTCAGTTCCATTTGGACCAGCAGCACCATAACCTCACTCCCGGAGCATCCAGACAGAGCATCCTTCCACACAAAAACAATTGCAACTTCTTGTTCTCTGGCTGGGGTTCCTGGACTGCTGCTTTCTGTGCGGGTTTAGTTTATTCTCATCATAAATAGAGACAACAAACCCCGTGCAAGGCGCGATCTGAAGCGCCTGAATTTGCATTGCAGGAGACGTGGCACTGGAACAAGGAAAACATTCCTGGGTGGGTGGGGGGCTGAGTGGGATTGGTTCATCTTGGTGCAGACTTCCCCTCGCTCAGCTGGTTTGCCCCACAGGGTTTGCTTAAAACCACAGCCAAGTGCATTAAAATGATGTTAAAGCAGAGACACCGCAAAGAACAAACAGAACCCGGGGCACTGGGAGCTGACACTGATGCGGATGGATGGATGGATGGATGGATGGATGGATGGATGGATGATGGATGGATGGATGGATGGATGGATGATGGATGGATGGATGGATGGATGGATGGATGGATGGATGGATGGATGGATGGATGGATGGATGGATGATGGATGGATGGATGGATGGATGGATGGATGATGGATGGATGGATGGATGGATGGATGATGGATGGATGGATGATGGATGGATGGATGGATGGATGGATGGATGGATGATGGATGGATGGATGATGGATGGATGGATGATGGATGGATGGATGGATGGATGGATGATGGATGGATGTTCTGAGGGTCCTGAGGGAAGTGGTGAATGCCCCATCCCTGGCAGTGCTCAAGGCCAGGTTGGACACAGGGGCTTGGAGCAAGCTGCTCCAGTGGAAGGGGTCCCTGGGTTGGAGCTGGATGAGCTTTAAGGTCCCTTCCAACCCAAACCAGTCTGGGATGCTGTGGTTTATTTCAGGCCTCCTCAGCCTTCCAGCTGGTGCCCAGCTTTGGGCAGCACCAGGCCCTGGGATGCTGCAGAGGGATTTGTCCACCCTGGAGTTTCATTTTGTGTTGGTGTTTTGTCCTATGGAAGGGATGGAGACCGCGTCCCCACTGCACACACGGTGCACGAGCAGCGCTCAAGCCTCTTCCCCCTTTCCCCTCTAATTGTCCTGCTGTCGGGACAAGCCTTAACTGAGTTAATCCTCAAGGAGGGCATTACCATGGGTGCATTCCTGTCCTGTAGTGGGTCTCTGCTCTGCCCTGCAGTCTGGTTCCTCGAGGAGAGCTGGAGTTGAAACCAGAGGCTCTTCCTGCTGACAGGAAGCTGGGGCTGAGCCATGCTGATGCTCTCCTCTCCAACGTGATGCAGCTCTGAGATCCTGGTTTCCCTAAGCTGCCCTTTGCTTGCACTCAGCTGCTCTGCACTGCCCTCAGCTCACACAGATGTTCCTTCACATCCACACTGTGATGCTGGAACCGGCAGAGCTCTCAGAGAGGAGCTGCCTGCATACATCAGCCCCTTCCACGCCAGCTCCTCTCATCCCTGTCAAATCCTTCTCCTTTCTACCAGCATCTCCCTTAGCTCCCTGTGGGTCCCTCTTCACAGAGGGAGGAGGTACAGAGCCGTGCAGAGGGTTAAAATGCATGATGTTGTTACCCCGACAGATCTGCTCCATCCTGCACAGGATGCTCCATTTGGCAGATTTCCACCAGGCAAAACATTTACTTTGGGAGAGGAAAGAGGAGAACAGAAAATAAGCTCTCACTCAGGGATCCAAAAGCAAAGCATGGGCTCAGAATGATGGGATGATTTCATATCTGAAGGAATGAAGCCACGATGCAGTAGTGCTGATCCTGACAGTCGGGTATTTACAGTGGGATCGGTTGCAGGTGGAACTTAGAAGGGGAAAAAAGAAGTCAGAGGGCAAAGGTTTTGTTTTAAAATGGACAACAAACTGTAGCTTAGCACCAAAGAGCAAGAACAGCAGTTTACTGGCTTCCCATGAGCGCTAGAATGTCCAAGGCACCCTAGTGAAGAATGGAGCAAGAAACCCAACTCAGTTAAAGAAATCTCCCCTTTTTGCCTGCTAAATGGTTCGAAATCAGACCCAAAAGCCAGGTATTTGAAGGAGAGGGAGGCTCTGAAGGTGCAAAGTCCAGATCCATGCTGGTGGGTGTTTAAGACCAAGGTTTGGCAAGAGGCATCTTGGGTTGTGCTGACTCAGATGCCAGCTCTGAAGAGCAGGAGCAGAACAAGAGCTGGCTCTTGCCGGTCCTTGCGGCTTCAGTGGGAAGGATTTGATGATCCCGGGGCTAGAAAAGTGTATGGGAGGATTTCACCCTCCTCTGTAAGAGCTGTGGTTGGGGTTTAATCTCTTGGATTTACTCTTATAACATCCATCTCTGAGGAGATGAACAAAGTGCACAACTGGTATGAGGGATGCAGGTTGCTCACCTGGGATGCTGTTGCCTCCATCACTGATCTCTTGCTTTGGAGACGAACAAGGTGCACAACTGGTATGAGGGATGCAGGCATCTCACTTGGGATGCTGTTGCCTCCATCACTGATCTCCCACTTTGGAGATGAACAAGGTGCACAACTGGTACCAGGGATGCAGGTCACTCACCTGGGATGCTGTTGCCTCCATCACTGATCTCTTGCTTTGGAGATGAACAAGGTGCACAGCGGGTACCAGGGATGCAGGTATCTCACTTGGGATGCTGTTGCCTCCATCACTGATCTCTTGCTTTGGAGATGAACAAGGTGCACAACTGGTACCAGGGATGCAGGTATCTCACTTGGGATGCTGTTGCCTCCATCACTGATCTCCCGCTTTCTTCTCTCTCCTTTTAGGGCCGCTGCATCAACTTCACCAGAGTGAAGAACACAGAGGCCCCCCCCAAATACCCGCTCAACAACGCATACCCCTCATCATCCCCCCCCCCAGCACCCATCTACACCCCCCCACCCCCAGCACCCATCTACACCCCCCCTCCACCCAGCTCCCCCACCCCACACACCCCATCCCCCTCCTCCACGCTCCCCCCACTCCCCCCACCCCCCCAAGCCCCCCCACCCAACAGGGCCCCCCCTCCATCCCGGCCCCCCCCTCGCCCTGCAGTCTAATGGGGGGTTCAGCCCTGTTCCCATCTCTTCCACAAGCATCCGAGGGGCTTTGTCAGCAGTACTGTACCACATCCATCAGTGGGGGGGGTGGAGGGGGGGGTGGGAGGGGGGTAGAGGAAGCTGGATTGGGTTTGGAATGGGTGACTTTGGGGTTGTCTTTGTCCTTTAGATTTCTGTTATTGTTCAAATCCCCCGTGCATCAGTGCCACCAATCAAATAAGAGCAGCCAAGAGACTGCAGAACAAGGCAAGTAACTTGAGTCCCATTGCAGCAAGGCTCTTCCCCCTTCTTTGTCCCCAACGCTTCCCATGGCCATTCCAGGATATATTGGAAACAAAGAAATGGAAAACTAGAGCAAGCTCTCCAGGAAGGCCAATTCTCCCTAGGGGACAACTGCAAGAGACTCTTCCCAGTGCAGTCATCCCAGGCAGCTACTGCACAAAGGCACTGGGACAAGACTCAAGGTATGAGAGAAAGCTGCTCCCATCCCAGCTGCCAAGTGGGTGATGATAACAGCAGGCCTGCAAGTACAGGAACCTGGTAAATCCAAGGAGAACTGTTCCCATGGACCATGAGTTGGAGAAGGGAAGGCGGTGTCACCTCGGAGGGTCTGGATGGGAGGAGTAGTCCCTGGATCCGTGTATGTTGGCATGCGGCAGTGCAGGTGAATGAGAACGGAGCGCCACTAGGGAATGGCATGGGAAATACAGCAGGCGGAATGGCACAAGGCTTGGACCTCATCCCCTGAGGACAAGGAATAACTGGCAACAGAGGAGTTCCTGGCCATGAGGAAGGGAATCTGGGAAAGGTACGGTTGACGGAAGAGTCTTTGCATTCAGTTTAGGCTAATACTGGCTATTGAGTTAACGGCTCTGCCATCCAGCAGTGCCAGTCAATGCTGCTTTCCAAAGGAAGGTTCCTGGACACCAGCAGTGTATCCATCTCCCTACACCCATTCCGCTCGGGCTCCTTGCTGCTGTCAGTTTGACGTGGTTCCCACTGATGCGTTTGGTTTTCCCGTAAATTGCATCCTTTCACCCCAGAAACGTTTCCATGTGGATTGTTGGAGTCTGTTTTCCTGTCCGGAATAAGCAGCAGGTGCCTTCCAACCTCGTAGTGAAGGAGATGCAGAGCGCTTCCTCCCTCTTGTCAGCTCCCAACACCATCACTTCCAGTAGCAGTGGTTGCTAAGGCAAAACTCAACCCATCGGACAAGCAGGATGGGAATCAGCCTTCCAAGGAATGCACTGGCTGCATTTCTCCATGCTTTCTCCTCGCCTTCACAGGACCCCCACGAGGTTCCCCAACGTTTGCACACCCTCACGTAGCTGTTCTCCTATAGCACAACCTGCCTTTGTGACACATAGGAGTAGGTTTGGTCACTTGAGCCAGAGCTCTGGCTCCCTGTTGACCGTCAGGATCAGTTCTCACAATGCGACTCTCTCTATGGAAGTTGGTAACCCACCTTGTAGCTGCAGGCCTATGAATGTCCAGGGGTTCCCATAAGCATGTACATTTGTAGCAGATGAAGAAATGCTTTGCCAAGTACTTCCTTCAGTGCTGTTGGAAATAAATAGGAATTTCAGCTTTTCTAGGAAAAAAAAAAAAAAGGAAAAAAAGGGAAAAAATACTCAAGGAGGAAAGGGAAGAGACAAAAAAGACCCTTCTGGTCCCCATTCATTTATTCACACTTGTGAATGACCCCTCATGGTGAGACTCGGAGTCAGTCTGACTGTCATTCACCAGCCTTCCCCATCGCTAGGTCATGGCATCTATCAGGTGGGCTAAACGCATCCATCTGCTACATCCATGATGCTGGATCTGAAGACGCAAGCTCCAGCCAAGGCTGTTGTGCAGAAAGGCTGCTTTATTCACCCCTAACCCTGTTCTGTCTGCAGGCAGCACAGAGCAGCCCCAGTCAGGAGCAAACCCAACAGTTCTGCTACTCGCTGTTGTCAGATGCATCAGCTACAGCCCATAGGTAGCTCAAGTCAACCTTGCGCTTGGCACACGGGAATGGGAAGCTTTAAACACCCGGACACACGTTTGGTTGGACTCCCTCTTGGGATGGATGGGATCTAGTTCAATAGGTGCTTGATCTGGGTTCAGAAAGAAAGGGGTAAGAACTGGGAATGGTGTGATAAGGATCAATGGATACTTCTCTGAACAGATCCTCGTGTTTCAAGAGAGTTTGGGAAGGAAATTGATTTTCAACAGGATGGCATTGGGATTTCATTTGGTTTAAGGGTCACTGCGCTAACAAATCCAAACCTACTGCTGGGGGAAGCCCCGTGGCAGGGTATATCCATGCCTAAGGCTCACTTCTTGCGGATGTACATAGGAATCCTCGTTTTCCCCAACCTAAAGGGGAAAAAGCCCCTCCATCCAGTATCAAAGAAGCAAACTCCAACCTAGATGAGGCCCGGGAGGGAAATCATCATTGCCCACTCGCGACGAAAAAGCAAACTCCAAATTCTTTGTTGTACATATTGTTACCGCATGCTTACCATATGTTAGATGGAAGCATCCCCTATCCGAGTGCGGATAAAAAGACCATTGTTCAAGTTGTAGTAAATTATTATGAAGCCAATGACATTTCATGGCACGTTATTGTATCAAGCTGTGCTTGTTGTATTTTGTTCTTTACGGTTGTATTGCTTTTTTTTATCAGTGTACAAATATCTCCTGTAGTGACGAATACCTGTGGGACATAGCATTAACTGAAGCACGACAGCTCCTGCCTACACACTCCCTTGATCCATTGGCATTGCTTTTCCACATGGATCCAGGGTGGGATGCGGCCGGAGCATGGACACCACAGCAGAGCACCCAACCCGTTGGTGAACTGCTTTGGGTGCATCCTTTCTAATGCTCGCAAGACAAAACAGGAGCACATTTGATGGTCCTTGGTCTTGCGTTTAGGATCAACCTCAATGTGGCTGCTTAAAAGGCTCCCCCAAAGCACTGCATGTGCTCTTAAAGATCCATGCTGGTCTCTAAGGATCGACTTAGGGATTCATTTAGAGATAAACATAAGGTGATCAAGCCTAAAACTTGGTCCTGACTAAATCAGCCTCCGCTGCAGATTGATGCTATGTAACCCAGGTTGAACCAGCTGGTGTGCCATACACCGCCCTATGGTACCCTATGTATTCTCTGGCTATAAAACCTTCCTAGAAACACATTACCCAGGCTATCAATCCTCACTAGCCAGTCCTTAAGTAAACCTTCCCTATAGATCAAAGGGAGCTGAGTGGCACCACATCTGCTCCCAATCTCCCAGGGCTTCCCTGTTCACTGCTCCTCCACGGGCTGGTCTAGACAGCCGTAAGCAGACGTCTGGTGGCATTAAATAAACCCTTGTTCCACTCTGCTCTGGAGCCCTCCCTTTGATTGCTGTGTTGTTCCTCCTGCCTGCAAACCTTCCCTTGGTGTCCTGCAGCCTCAAAGGGCTCCGTAGCTGCGTTTGACAGGTTCAGAGCATGGGTTTGAAGAGTTCAAATGCTCCAGATCATTGCTGGCTGCGTCTCAACGCGTTCACCCACGGGAATGGGGCAGGCAACTGAATTCACCCTCTGCTCCTCGGTGTGTGAAGGCAGCTCCTGCCCCTGGGGAAAGGGGGCTTCTGGCAAGGTCTGAGGGTAACCAATGGGCACTGTGGCCTTTATGTGGTGCTGGTGCAGCAAAGGAGGAGAAAGAAGCCTCTGCTGTGATGTGGAATCAGGGCTCGTGGGTTCGGCCAGCGCTGTGCAATGATGCTCTGCTCCCTCTGTTTGCTGCATGTGTCATTTGTTAAATGCACTCATTACTCTTGCTCCCCTTGATGTTATTATTAAAGAACTACACCGATCCGTGTTGGGCTCCCTGTGGTTCATTGCCTGGGCAAAGGGAATGAGGCAGGAGAATCCTGGTCAAGGGGTTGGATCCTGGCTTTCCATCATCCTGGAGAGCTGCAGCGCGGTGCGGTGCTTCCCAGCATCCCAGAGCCCTTCTGCCTGGCACGGGAGCTGTTTTCACTGGGGTGGGACACAGCCTCCTCACTGTCACCCAGGGCCTCACCTCCAAGCGCAGGGGAACCCCTCATTCACACACTCACCCCCTTTAACAGAGCAGAACAGTGACTACAAGGAGCTCAGCACCTTGCCTTGTAGTCATGCTTGCTCATAGTCCTTTCTGCACTTAACTCTCACTAACTCATGGTTGGAGCATCTTATTCTCCAAGGGAGATTAACAGAGCGTGAAGAGGTTCAGCTTCAACACCCAGCTCTTTCCTCAGCACATCAGCTCCAGGCTCAGCCTGAATTCCATAGCAAATCAGTTGAAACCAGGCTTGTGTCTCATAGGGAAGCCACAGGAGTCAGCAGGTCCTGCTCGGGTAAAAGGTGCTCTTTAAATGGGGACAATCACAGCTGCTTTAAGCTTCATGCAATGCAAACACACCAAGCCCTGATGGTAGCTCCGGATCCTTCAGGGCACACAGAACCCATCACGACCTCATGGAAAACACCTGGGAAAGCCCCTATAGTGAGACCCTGCCCTTCAACCAGCTGCTGGTTCAGCACCCCTTGGCTCCATGAGCCTGTTCCCAGCTTGTGGCACCCCATTGTGCTCCCACCATGGCAGCCTTCATCACCACAATGGGCCAGGGCACAAAGAGGGGATGCTTTTGGAGCCAAGTTGCTCCATAGGAAGGCAATGTGGATGTGGCCATCCCTTATCCTGGGCTGGCTCCTGATGGCCATCAACAGGCTCCTACCTGGGAGCAGGTCTGGGCTCTGTGGGGTGATGTTGGAGCAGTTGGTGACAGGAACCAGCTTGTCCACAGAGCAGGGATGTGCAGGAGGCAGGGACGATGCCGGCAGCCAATGGGAGAAGCCACTGCTGGTTCCCAGCGATTCCTTTGGGATTTGTGCTTGGGATGCTCTCTCCCAGGCTTTGTGCCTGCCCTGGCTCCATGAGCTGCCCCTCTCTGTGCCAATTGTGCTTCCTGGGGTCTGCTCATAACTGAACCTGGATTGATCTTTTAGCTGGCCAATGCAGCCAGGAGCCAGCCTGGGATCCATGGGCAGATCCAGTGAGGGAATTTTGGGTTTGATGGGACACAACATGGGTTTATAGTAGTTACTGTTCTGGGGGTAAGACTCGTGCCTGTGTGCGTGTGACACCGTATGAAGCCTCATAGGAACTGCAGCTGCCTGTTCCACATGGAAACTGGGGAGATCCACAGCAGCTACAAGTGCAACTGGGTCACATCAGACAGGATTGGGTTGGTTTGGGGGTGTTCAATAGTCCAGCTCCAAAGGTGGGATCCTGAAGTCGTTCCCCTTCTATTCCTGCCTGGGCAGGGATGGGGATGCTTGGTCCAGGCTGTTCCCTGCCTGCCTGAGGTCACAGGGGGAAAGTGGTGAAAAGGATTTGTTGTAAAGGGCAGTAAGGATTGTGGTGGTGTGAGGGAAGGGTTTGGAGACAAACGGCCTGTCCGGGAGAGGATGGTGGTTGGTGAAGCCATTACCTGTACCTTACTACTTATAGTACTGATATTACTTGTATCTTACATATATTACCTGTATCTTACTACTTATAGTACTGATATTACTTGTATCTTACTCATATTACCTGTATCTTACTACTTATAGTACTGATATTACTTGTATCTTACTCATATTACCTGTATCTTACTACTTATAGTACTGATATTACTTGTATCTTACTACTTATATTACTGATATTACTTCTATCTTACATATATTACCTGTATCTTACTA